TTTCTGCCCCTCAACACATGCTACTCACACTATGTACAAATGCAACACACTCACACCTTTTTTTATATTTTTCTCTTTTTCTCCCCCTAGATGCATGCAACGCACACTATGTACAAATGCAACGCATGCACACTATTTTTGTTCTTTTCTGAGTTTTCTCCCCCTTCACCCATGCAACTCACACACACTATTTACAAGTCCCCCCCACACACACTTGAACAGACCAATGGAGATAAAATTACTCAGGCTCGAGATTCAACATGCCTAACTTGGAGACTAGGAACTGGAATCTCTTTTCATCCAGTGCCTTAGTAAACAAGTCAGCCAATTGAAGCTCTGAGCTTACAAAGTACATGTCAATATCTCCTTTCTCCACGTGGTCCTTGATGAAATGATATCGTAGATCGATGTGCTTGGTGCGGGAGTGGTGAACAGGGTTGCTGGTGATGGCAATTGCACTTTGAGAATCACTGTAGATTGGGATATGGCGGTATGTGTAACCGTAGTCTTTCAGCTGAGTCTTCATCCATAATATTTGTGAACAACAACTAGCAGCCACGACGTATTCTGCCTCAGCTGTAGATGTTGACACACAGTTCTGCTTCTTAGAAGACCAGCAGACTAACTTCTCACCCAAGAATTGGGCGCCTCCCGAAGTACTTTTTCTATCCATTCTGCAACCCGCAAAATCAGCGTCCGAATATCCGACAAGGTCAAAACCTGAGTGCTTGGGGTACCAAAGGCCTAAGTTCACAGTGCCTTTGAGGTATCTCAAGATTCTTCTTACGGAGGTCAGATGAGATTCTTTCGGATTCGCTTGGAAACATGCACACAAGCATGTGGAGAACATTATATTAGGCCTTTTAGACGTGAGGTAGAGAAAAGATCCAATGATTGCCATGTAGTTGGTAGCATCTACTGGTTTCCCTGAAGGCTCAGAATCCAATTTGTTGTTTGGGGACATAGGGGTTTTCATGGATGGTTTTTTGTCAATGTGAAATCTTTTCAACATATCCAGGATGTACTTGGACTGATTGATAAAGATACTGATACGCTTGTAATTTCCATTTGTATGTGTGTTTTTAATTAGTTTTGATTGATTTTTACTTTGGAAATTACACACTTTTGGTGTAATAGTTTAGTTTGTTAAATTTTTGTAAATTGTTTAGATTAGGTTTATTCTGAGCTCAAACAGGTCTTGATCCACTCAAAGGACAGTTGGTGAACCCCAAAAAGTGGAAGGAAGGTGCAAAAAATCAAAAAGAGAAAAGATCCTGATTTTTTGGTCTATACCCGGTCCAGTATGACCTTTACTCGATCGGGTATCTTATTGAAATTTCAAATCGGATCAGATTCGAAGACAAAGGATCATGCAGCGAAGATTCGGACCACGATCAAATGTCCATACCCGATCGGGTACACCGACACACCCGATCGGGTATCTCTTCAAAAACAAACCTGAATTCGGTCGAGTATGCTCCGGATCTGAAGTTATAAGCATACTCGACCGAGTATAAAGGCATACTCGATCGGGTATGCTTATGAAATTTAGGCAATGATCGATCGAGTATACCTCGAATTTGAGGTATTACACATACCCGATCGGGTACCTCGTATATACCGGATCGGGTACCCGAGGTGCATCTCAAAAGCCTATAAATACACCCCCTTTCCTTCACAATAAGACATCCAATTCCTTTATACATCTAAGCTCAATCTAGAATAGTTCTTTCTTTATATTTTTCATTATGTTTAGTCTCCAAATGAGGAGCTAAACTCTTCCATCTTGGTTTTGCTACTTTGAAGCTTAATGAATTTGTAAGTTGTGAGTTATTTTCTTTAATCTTCTTCCTTGAATATTAATTCTTCCTTTAAAATACTATTTCTATATCAAAGCTGGGGAGTGTTACTAAGATGATAATTAGTTAACATCTTGACATTGGTTATAGTAATAGTTATTTCTTCCTCTATGTTAATATTGGGGAGTGTTACTAAGATGACAATTAGTTAACATCTTGATATTAATTATAGTAGGATTCATATTCTTTAATATTCTTCCTTGAGTATTAATTAATTCCTATTCATATTTCATGTTAATATTTTGAACATTACTTAAAGTATCAACTAGTTTTGTTTCTTATATTAATTATTACTAGAATCAACGAGTTAATACGCTTGTTATTAATCCGGTTCTTTCAACAGTAGTAAACTTGGATTATTATTGCATGTATCTCATGGTTAATATGCCAAGGGGAATTAATGATATTGATTAAACCAATAAACCGCTTGTGTTGAGGTTATCAATCTCAATCGTTTTCATCTTAAGTTTATTGCTACTATCAAGTTAATATACAGCGCTTGTTCTATATTGACTCGATAGTAAGTTTTATTAATGAATGCATCTCGTTATTAATAACTACCCTCGATGAACTGGATATACTCCTCGATTGAGTATTCGAGAGGAAGATAGTTAAAGATATAACCGGGATCGACGAACATTTCATTAAGTGGATAAAAGCAAAACCAAGTCCTCATCTCTATTAATTAAACCACATAAGTCGTTCATCTTAGTGTTAATTAAATCAAATTAAATCAAACTCAAAATCCCCCTTTGTTACTCATTATATAAAAGAAAAGTATTCCTTTCCCTGTGGATACGAACCTTACTTCACTATACTACATATTAGTGTTGTATTGAATATTTATTTTGAGTGCACCTCACGACAAGTGCACATCAAATTTGGCACCGTTGTCGGGGAAAGGCAATTATTTTTCTTTTTATTCTATTTCAAGAAAAATCAAAAAAAAAAATTAAATAAATAAAATATAAAGAGTTCTTAGATTTCTATTCTTCTGAGCTTTATTTGAGTATATGGTTAAACACCGATCTATAAACCAAATCAACTACCAAACAAAGCCCGAAACAGAACAAGCCTTCGAGAGGTTTAGGAATTTATTTCCGAATACTTCTTCGGAGGAATCATCAAGTGTTAGTTCTCATTCTAGAGACACCGAAGAGCCAATCACTATGGCTCTTGAAAGAAGAATGTTGAGGGAGCTCACAGCTCCGAATCTAAATAAAAAACCCTTATGCATCACTTTTCCAACTCTTGATACGGGGGTCGCATTCGAGCTAAAAATCGGGGCTCATTCATCTACTTCCCTCTTTCCATGGTCTACGAGGGGAAGATCTGAACAAACACTTGTCAGAGTTTCATATTGTGTGCACAAGCATGTGCCCCAATGGCGTGTCCGAGGAGCAAATCAAGCTGAGAGCCTTCCCATTCTCCCTCAAAGATACCGCCAAAGATTGGCTATTTTATCTTCCCTTGGGGAGCATCAATACATGGGCTCAAATGAAAAAGAGTTTCCTTGACAGGTACTATCCCACATCTATCTCTTCAAGTCTCAAGAAGCAAATCAGCAACATTGAGCAAGCAGATAATGAGACCTTGTACGAATATTGGGAGCGCTTTAAAAAATTATGTGCTAGTTGCCCAAATCATGGGTATTCGGAACAAGATCTCATCCTCTACTTCTATGATGGTCTTGTTGATCAAGATAGACGCATGGTAAATGCGGCATGCGGAGGGGGTATTGTTAACAAAACCCCTTCTCAAGCAAGAGACCTCATTTCGGGGTTGGCCGAAAACTCGAGACATTACAACGAGAGGTCATCATCAAAACGAGTCATGGCAGCGGAATCCAACAATTCGTTAAAAAGTCAAGTGGCCGGCTTAACTTCTTTGGTAAAAGATTTTCTCTTAAATCCGAAAACCCAAGAAGCCAAGGTCTGCGACATATGTTCAACGCAGGGGCATCCCATTGATTCCTGCCCAACGCTACAAGAAGAGAACTCTGAGCAAGTCAATGCTTTGGGGTTCCACGGTCAAAGGAGGTACGATCCTCAAGGCAATAGTTATAACCCGGGATGGAGAGATCATCCGAATTTAAGGTACGGAAATTCTCAACAACAAACAAACCCTCCTCCTCAACAATATAAACAACAAGGCCAAACATCGAACTCGAGTATGTCCACTGAAGACATGATTCGAGCACTGGCCGTTAATATGGGAACAATGGAGCAAAGCATGGGGCAATTCCAACAAACCATGATGCAATTCCAACATGAAACCAAGTCGAGCATTCAAAATTTGGAAACTCAAGTTAGCCAAATTTCGAGTGCCGTAAGTCGACTTGAAGCAAAAGATTCGGGTAGGCTCCCTTCCCAAACTGAGCAAAACCCAAGACAACATGTCAATGCAATCATGTTGAGGAGCGGTAAAGAATTGCAAACAGAGGAAGTTGAGGAGGAAAAACAAGAGGTTGATCTTGGAGAAGGTTTTCAATCGGAAGAAGAGGAGCCAACGCAAACTAAATTCCCTCCACTGTCATCATATGAACCACTCCCTCCATTCCTTGAAGCATTGAAAGACACGAGGAAGCTGAAGAATGACCGGGACATCTACGAGATCTTCGCCGATTCTGAGGTAAACATCCCACTCTTCAAACTGATCAAAAGTGTTCCCCGTTATGCAAAGTTCTTAAAGGAACTATGCACAATTAAAAAGAAAGATAAATTGAAAGGGAAACAAGAGGTTAGAGTTAGTGAACGTCTCTCGGCTATTTTCCAAAGAAAACTCCCCGAAAAATGTAACGACCCAGGCATGTTCACTATCCCTTGCAAAATAGGAGACACCACATTTCCTAGGGCCTTGTTGGATTTAGGGGCATCAATAAATGTCATCCCCTATTTTGTTTATAAATCTCTACAACTTGGCCTGTTACATCAAACCGGTGTAGTGATTCAACTAGCGGATCATTCTAGTACTTACCCGAAGGGTGTAATAGAAGATGTGCTAGTAGAAGTAGAAAATATGGTTTTCCCTATTGACTTCTATGTCCTTGAAATGGGAACTGATGATCAAACAACACCCATCCTTTTGGGTAGACCCTTCATGAAGACCGCGAAAACAAAAATTGACATGGCTAGTGGTTCATTTTTTTTTTGGTGAAATGTAAAATATATATTAACACCAAAAGAAATGTTACAACCAAAGTGCATATCCCCGTGTGTGGGATACCACAAATTCAAAAACAAAAGTCCTCCCACATCAGCATATTAATCCTAGAAAACTAGGAGCAATAATAAGCTTAAAGAAAGCAACATCAACAAAATATTAGGTTTCCCTATTTTGACAACTCAGGAAAAATCGGAAAGGTTTAGTGAACTTTGAATCAAAGCGAACCTCCCCTTTCTTCTTTGTAACACCCGGCAAGCCCTCAAGACATTCAACAGTAAAAGTGAGACCCTTTCTATTCAAATCATCCGTTAGTCGAAGGAAATTGTCCACTCGAATCACATTAGCATGCACGGATTTAAACGGTTTGACAACCAACTTGAGTGTTTTGCCGTTTATCACCTCACATTTTATAACAACATCATCTAGCTTCACATCCTTTTTTTCCATGACGATCCTCTCGCCAACATCCAAAGAAGGTCCCTGGTCAGCTAATTTAATCACGGCAGATGCCCCCTGGTTAACAAACTGCCCACCAGCCTGGTTAGATTGTATATCCGTGGCAGCAAGTTCTGCAGCGTTTCCAGCCCCCTGGGCAGTTTCCTGCATATTCTTCACAGTTGTCACACCATCGGCAGGCTCCTGGACAGGTAGAGCATCAGTGGCAGCAACTTCCGCAACCTTTCCAGCCCCCTGGGCAGTTTCCTGCTTGCGAGACCCGGTTGGGTTACCCCCCTGGACAGTCAAAATTGGCGAGGCAGCCCTCAAACAGTTTGCAGCTCCCTTATCTTTCCCTATGTTTCCCACTATGCTATGGCTTTCATCAACTAATTTGTCCTTGTTTATTTCCCCATCACCTCTTTTTGCTAGAATTTTACAAATAAATGGGTTGTGCCCATATTGTTTGCAATGAAAGCAAAAATTAGGGAAAGTCTCATAAACCACATTTTGTTTGAATACCTTTCGGGAAGGTAGTCGAATGGGAAAAGATAGTGGTGGCGGCTTTGAAACATCAACCTCAATGAGCACTCTAGCATAGTCATTATTAGTCCTTTCTTGGGTGATCTTGTCCGTGGTAATAGGGATCCCAACCATAGATGCCACCTCACTCATAGCCTCATCATTCCATAGCTTCATTGGTAGCTTAGGAAACTTGATCCAAATAGGTACCTTAAGAAATTCCGCATCTTCAAAAGAGAAATCATCGGAGAGCTCTTTGAGCATTAGAAGTTTCCCAAAAACCATGTAAGGACCCTCATGTAGTACCTTAGTTCTATCCACTTCATTTTGGAATTTGAAGATGACCCACTCCTTATCGTGGGATCTCACAAGGCATTTCACTCCCCATGTTGCCTTCAAATCGTGAACCGCTTTGAGTCCGGGAAATCTTCCGGTGAAGTGTCCCACAAGACAATAGCCCCACATTTCTATCATAGAGGGTAATTCCCGGCCACCAAAGTCCAAAATTTCCCCCTTAGGTGGGACATATTTCAATTTAATACCATGTGTTGGATCCCGGTTATCCTTAAACAATGAGTTCCATGGTTTAGTGGCATTAGTTACTGCCAATGTTTGGACAGGTTGCCCAGCACCATTTTCCTCACAGTTTGGGACAGTCCCAGGAGTCTGCCCAGCACCAGGAAGTTCAATAGTTTTTGGTATTAGTTCTGCTATAATTAGGGGTTCTGGCTGCCCCAATTCTTTCTCCCTTGTGCTATTGGCAGATGAATTTACACCCTCAAAGTTCTGTCCAGCTTTTTCTGCAATTTTTTTACAAGCATCTTTAGTAGCAGATTTCCCAGGATTTTTTGCAGCATATCCAGTTCCTAGCAAAGGAAAATCATCCGCAAGACCCTCCAGTAGGTCAAAGCCAGCTCGTGACCTGGTGATTCTGGCTGAAGACTCACCCTTACTCTGTTTCATTTTACCCATAACTGCAGTTCGCCGGTTTCAAACAAACAGCAGGAAAACAAAAAATTCCTTGCGTAAACCTACAGCAATTTGTGCGTAACAACAACAGACCACTGCCAATTTTCGTCGCTCAGAAACAGGGACGTCGATGAGCTCAGAAAATCCAGAAATATAAAATCGCAGCCAAAAACCTCAATCGAACAACAAATCCAAGGACAGAAACGCTATCAGATGCTAATTTCGACTGAGAATCAGCTAAAATTACATGTAACAGACTGTAATCGAAACTGAAAACACGAATCGTGAACAGTAATATCAGCGCACAATAGGTTCGCAAATAGGTTTCCTGGCCTTCTCTCAGCGCGTAAAATCAAATCCAAGCACATATACGGAATTCTAGGAGAAATCCGAACAAAGAAAACACAGTTTAATAAAAATCATAATCCAATAAACCAACCATGAACTCCATGAACTCCATGTCGGAAAAGAGCTGGGAGAAGAAAATCCCAGGAGAGAGAAGCTCTCAACTTTTCCTCAAACAAGCATGTCTTCATGGCTAGTGGTTCATTAACTTTAGAGTTCGATGACCAAAAAGTAGAATTCAATATCTTGAACTCTACGAAAAAATGAATGCAAAATCTAACTCTTTGTTCTTTAAATGTTTTGGAACCACAAGAACCGATATTTTTTAAAGAAGCTGATAAAATCAAATTTTTTCAAGAAGAAAAAAATAAACACGAGAAGTCATCTTTGATAGAAAGGGATGTGTTGAAATGTGAACTAAATCCACCTATGATTGAGGTGGTAATGAGAAAGAAATCCCGGCCTTACTGGAAAAGGCCGAAAAATAAAACTGAAAAATGGCTAAATAGGGCCTCAAAAAATAAAACAAGGGATGCTCACGATCCCACATAAAGAAAAAAAAAAGAATAACGTCGTGCCGCGACGTTAACTAAGGCGCTTCTTGGGAGGCAATCCGGGTTTTATTTTTTGTTATTTCGAGTGTTTAAAGTTCATTTTTAATTATTTGAGAGATCAGTGAGAGAGGGAACTAATCACAGGTTTTGGAGAAAAAGAGAAAAAAATGCAGGTTTTGAAGCATATGGGGACATACCCGATCGAGTACCACCTTATACTCGGTCGGGTATGGCTAAAAGAAGGGGAACCGGGCATTTATCTTCAACAAATACGTATAAATACTTATGTTAAACACAAGTAAATATAACAGCTATCAATACTCGACCGAGTAACTCCCCATACTCGATCGGGTATACGGGCGTTTTAACCCCAAAACCGCCCAAATCACTTCATCTTCCCCAAATCTCAAACCCAAATTTCGAACCCCTCCTCCCCAACCTCCATTTTCAAACCTTCTCTCTACCATATCTTCTTCATTTCTACACCAAATCACCCCATTCCACCACCAAAATACTCCCCTCACCTTCCTCTACACACCCATACCCACCAATCCAACTTTTCCCCAATCTCTACAGGTCCGAAAAACCCTACCCCTAAATTTCAATTTTCGGATTTTGAGCTTCCAAATCTCCAAAAATGGCACCAAGGAAGGATAAAGGGCAGAGCTCCAACGCTATGACACCCATCCCAGGCTACGAGGACCTCATCTTCGCCGACAACGAACACCGAACTCGGTTCATCACCACAATTGCAAGGCAAGTAAAACCTTCCCGTTTTTATGCAATGATGCTCTCAATGAATTAGGAATGTATAAGAGCACTAGGAAATTTTTTCATGAGTTGAGCATGGATCGTATATTCAAAATGCAATACAACTCTAACGAAAAAATAATCTATGAATTCATGAGTTCGGTGCAATTTGAGACCGATGAAGCTGATTTTAGGGATGATAGACTCAAGTTTCGTCTGTTTAACCAAAACCACTCAATAACGAAACTTGAGTTCGCCGAACATTTTGGCATTCCGGTTCCCTACCAAAAATCCATATCCGATAACACTGCTTTCGGCCACTCCCTGTGGACAAAGATGACTGGGGAAGCAAAATTTAGCTCCTCCCAACTGTATATTAGTCATGTCCAACACCTCGTCCTCCGATTATTCTTGAAATTTCTTGCCAATTGCTTGCTTGGACGTCCCAACAACCATCACACTAGGATGGGGGATGTATGCTTGATGTCTGTAGCCCTATTCCATGTTCATGTGGACTTTAATCTGTGCAATCTTATGTGGGCACATCTGAAAAAAGAGAGCGCATCCAAGGGGACTATTGTTGTGGGTGGGGTGATTATGCACTTAGCCACCGAGTTCGGGTATACGGATAACTCTCCTATACCCGACTATTGTTTGATGAACATCTCTTGGTTAGGCCATTCGGGATGCACAGCCTTTTCCCATACAGTTTATGGTGGTGAACGACCAAAAACATGTATAACTGGCTCATACACCCAAGCCTCTCAAATACTTCCTCCTACCTAACCAAGAACTTCCCAAACTGTGCTACAAAGAAGCGGTAGAGGTGCCCCATTACCTATTCCCACACGCCCTTCCACCACATCTCCAAGAACCAAAACAAGAGCCTCCCTAATACCAACCTGAGTACGAGCCTTATGCTGAACCCCATGGTCATGAAGACATGGACGCAGACATCCCCGAGCAAACTGAAAACCCCCCACCACCCGACTTAGGGTTTGTTTGGGGACATGGGGGTTTTCATGGATGGTTTGCTGTCAATGTGAAATCTTTTCAACATATCCAGGATGTACTTGGACTGATTGATAAAGATACCGTCTTGTAACTGTCGGACTTGCAGGCCTAGAAAGAAGTTCAACTCTCCCATCATGCTCATTTCAAACTTGGTTTTCATCAGTTTCTCGAAGTGCTTGCACAGACACGGATTGGAGGAGGCAAAGATGATGTCATCGACATAGATCTGAATCAGAATAATATCAGACTTCTGTCGCTTGATGAACAGTGTAGTATCAATCTTTCCTTTTGAGAAACCATAATCAACCAGAAACTCTGTTAAGGCATCGTACCAGGCTCGTGGAGCTTGTTTCAACCCGTAGAGTGCCTTGTTCAGTTTGTACACATGGTCAGGGTGTTTGGGATCTACAAATCCTTCGGGCTGAGCAACATAGACTTCTTCCTCTAAGACTCCATTGAGAAAGGCAGTCTTCACGTCCATTTGAAAGACGGTGAAGTTTTTGTGAGCCGCGTAAGCAAGAAGGAGGCGAATTGCTTCAATTCTTGCTACGAGTGCAAATGTTTCGTCATAGTCTATGCCCTCTTGTTGATTGTACCCTTTTGCGACCAATCTAGCTTTGTTTCACACAACGATACCTTCTTCGTCTTTCTTGTTCTTGAACACCCATTTGGTGCCTATGATGGATTTCTTTGATGGCTTTGGCACGAGTGTCCAAACTTGTAGTCTCTCAAATTGATTGAGCTCATCTTGCATGACAATCACCCAATCTGGATCAGTGAGTGCTTCAGAGACTTTGGTCGGTTTAGTTTGGCTTAGAAAGCACGTGTATATGCATTCGTTCGTGGTTGCAAATCTAGTGCATACTCCACAACTCAGATCACCAATTATTTGTTCAACCGGGTGAGCTTTCGTCCATTTCCTTTCATGAGCCATAGGAGTTGGAGTGATGATTGGTTGATCCAAGTCCTCATAAGGAATGATGGTGTCTTAAGCAGTTGTGTTGTGTAGAGGAGATGATTCTGGGGTTGTATCAAAACCGTGATCCTCAACTTCTTCTTGATTAGATTAAGGAGTGGATGGCGTAGATGGTATGTCATGCGGAATGGGTAGAAGAGGGATCTGAGCGGTTGGAGTTGGTTGAGGTGGAATTCCTGAAGTTGAAGCTGGTGTGCATGGAGGAGATGAAGGGTGTGAATTCTCGTAGAAGTGTCTGAAGAGAGAGTTGAGAATCACACCTTCGGGTACATTGTTGGGATCGTCTTTATCAGAAGCCTGTGGTGCAGAAGGAGTCGAATCAGCCTGTAAGTGTTTTGTTGCAAAGTCAGTCATTTCATAGAATGTTACATTCACACTCTCAATGACTGTTCGCCTGTCTCTCAAATAGACTCTGTAAGCTTTGGACTGAAAGGAATAGCCAATAAACACGCCTTCTCTGGCTTTCGGGTCAAGCTTACTTCTCTCGGTTCGGTCATTCAGTACAAAACACTTACAGCCAAAGATCTTGAAGAAAGAGATATCTGGAGTTCTGTTGAAAAGAATTTCGTAGGGAGTCTTGTCGAAGCGTTTGTGGATGGATGTTCTGTTTTGTGTGAAGCACGCATTATTGATTGCCTCTGCCCACATGAAATGAGGCAATCTGGATTGAATGAGCATGGTGCGTGCTGCTTCGACAAGTGTTCTGCTCTTTCTTTCAACAACTCCATTCTATTGAGGAGTTTTGGCTGCAGAGAATTGCTGTGTGATACCTTGAGATTCATAGAAATCAGTGAGAGTTTGATTCTTGAACTCGGTACCATTGTCTGTTCTGGTTATGCGAACACTCTTATGTAGCAGGTTTTGAATAGTTCTGATAAAGGTCATAATGGTTTCCGCAGCCTCGTCCTTTGTACGAAGAAATTTTGTCCATGTGTACCTTGAGAAATCATCAATAATTACAAGAGTGTACTTGCGACCATTGATGCTTTGAACTCTCA